CGACGCGCGGGTCCCCGTCGCCCGTCGCAGCGCCTCCCGGGAGCGACGCGCGGAGTGACGGGGCAGAAAGCCGCCGCGCGCCTCGGGGCGCACGGCGGGCAGAAAACCGCCGCACGCTCCGAGCGCGCGGCGGGATGAAAAATCCGTCGCACGCCACGGGGCGTGCAACACACAGAGTAGCAGTAGCAGCGGAAGCAGTGAGGTGGTGGGCCCACCCACAGGATCGACCCAGGAGGGTCGACCTGCTCTGATAGCATGTCAGAACTAGCAGTAGAAAGTAAGAATGAAGAAAGGAGGATGTTCACTAGCAAGCAGTTGGATACATATAGCAAACCCTAATTGGGCTGTACTCACTATAGAGTACCCCACTGCAGGCTAGACAATTATAACATTCTGACAGGGTGAGTGCGTCGGCGATGTTGGATGCGCCTTTCTTGTACGTAACCGTGTAGTGGAAGTTGGACTCGAGGTAGTTCAACCAGCGAATCTGTCGCGGATTGAGATTTGGTTGGGCGCGTAGGTACTGTAGTGATCGGTGGTCTGTCCGTACTGTCACGTCGGCGCCAGTCAGGTAATTCCGCCAAACTTTGAACGCGTGCACGATCGCCAACATTTCGCGGTCGTGTATCGGGTAGTTGCGTTCGGGCGGGTGCAGCTTGCGGGACTCGTACGCGATTGGCTGGAGGCCATTCCCGAAATCCTGCAACAGTACTGCTCCCATAGCGATGTCATTTGCGTCAGTGACGGGCTCGAACGGACGGTGTGGATCTGCGATGTGAAGCACGGGCGGTGAGCACAAAATGTTTTTGAGGGCCGAGAAGGCAGCTTGCTCTTTCTCCCCCCACGTGTACTCAACCCCCTTCCTCAGCAGGTCTGTCAGCGGGGCAGTCAGCTTCGCCATGTCGGGGACAAACCGGCGCACGTAGTTGACGAACCCCAAAAAACTCTGCAACTCGGTCAAGTTGGTCGGCGCGTGCCATGCTTGAATTGTCGCAATTTTCTTCGGGTCTATTTCCACTCCTGCAGCTGAAATAACGTGTCCCAAAAACTCCAGGCGATCCTGTAAAAATTCACACTTAGACGCTTTTGTCAGTAGGCGGTTCTCACTCAGTATTTTAAAAACTGCTTCGATGTCCTGTAAGTGCTGTGCTCTGTCAGGGCTGTAAATCAGTATGTCGTCCAGGTATACTATAACGCACTTATCTAAGAGCGGGCGGAAAGCCTCGTTCATGGTCATTTGAAAAGTGGCGGGGGCGTTGGTCAGTCCGAAAGGCATGACGGTGTATTCGAAGGATCCGTAGCGTGTGCGGAATGCGGTCTTAGGGCAGTCGGGCGGGTTGACGCGAATCTGGTGGTAACCCCCTCGGAGGTCGATTTTCGAGAAGACCCGGGCTGTGCGCAGTTGGTCGATCAGTTCGTCGGCTCGCGGGATGGGGTAACGGGATTTGATGGTAACCTTGTTCACTGCTCTGTAGTCGATGCGCATGCGAAATCCCCCGTCTTTTTTCGATGTGAACAGCATCGGTGCTGCGAAAGGCGACGAACAAGGGCGAATGAATTCCTTCTCGAGTAGGTAATCGAGCTGCTTCCTCAGTTCGTCCAGTTCGGGCTGGGTCAGTCGGAACTATCGCTGTACTGTTGGCTGTGCCCCCGGTTCTAGCTCTATCCTGTGGTCGTGCGGTCGCTGAGGTGGCAGTCCCGTCGGTAAATCATCCGGGAAAATGTCGCTGTACTGCTTCAACAGTGCTACCATGTCACTCGGTACGTCGGCCAGCAGTTTCTGTAAATCCCCTCCTTTGTCTGCTGCCTCGGCTTCCCGAATGTCGACCGCGTACACGTCAGCTCCTGCCGCTACGGCGCGTTTCATCGTGATCGCGTTGACACGCACCGACGAAGACTCAGGCGAGCCCCAGCGAGGTAGGGCGATGTTGTTACCGTTCACTTGCACGGCGCAGTCACCCGTCGTCCAGTCGATTCGCGGATTGTGTCGTCGCAGCCAATCACGCCCGAGTAAAATATCGGTTCCGTCGAGGGTCGTTGCGAGCATTTCCTGGCTAAACGTGAAGTTACCCCCACATCGAATCCGAACCCGGTCTACGCGTTCCCGTATTGCCAGCGGCGTGCCGTCTACCAGTCGTGCGTCGATCTCAGGTAAACATCTGTCCAGTGGCAGTCGCAGTTTTCGTGCTGTAGCAGTGTTGATGAGACTGTGGCTAGCTCCCCCGTCTACGAAGATTTTAACTAAGTCCGTCCCGATTTTCCCACTAAGCAATATGGGGCTGTCTACCGTAGTCCCCTCCTTATTCGGCCGAGTGTGGTCGATTGCGTGAACCGGCACAATCACTCGGTGAGGGTCGGTTGGGTCGGGCGAGCGGCGTGACCTGTTAGTAGAGGGCCCGTCTGCTACTGACTCCCAGCGTTTCCCTGCTGCTTGGTCTGTTTCTGCTGCTCAGCTTCCCCCTTTCCCTTAGCGTTTTCCGGGCATTCGCTCTTGCGATGTCCCGGCCGATTGCACGCAAAGCAGCGCCCTTTGAACGGTGCGGTAGCGGCACTTGCGGCGACGGCACGTATCGTGGCGCCCTCGTTCGTCCCGCGAGGCCGATGTCCCCAATGGTTGCTTCCGTAGGACCCCGGTCTCGGTCGGCGGAAGAAATCAAGTTTCTCCGCCATAGCGAGAATTTCTTGAAAGTCGGTGACGCCGCGAAGCTGGATTTCCTGAGCGATGTCCTGCTTCAGGCCGCCGATGTAGCGGTCGATGCGCTCGCTCTCGTGCATATATCCCACCTGCTCGCATAGCGCCAGAAATCCGCTCGTGTAATCTTGGACGGAACCGAGTTGGCGCCAAGTGCGGAGCTTCTGTCGCGCCGCGATCGAAGCCGCGATTGGCTCGAAACGAGCGCGCAGACCTGCGCACCACGCGTCCCACGTGCGATACTGGGGCACCTCCACGAAATACGACGGTGCCCAGGGTCCGGTTTGTCCTTCCCGTGTCGGTAGAGTCGCGTAGTCCACTGGCTTCGTGACGATGACGCGCCACCAGTCCATGGCGGGTCCTCGCAGCAGCGACACGGCGTAGCGAATCTTCGCCGTATCCTCCGAGACGTAGTTCGCGTCGAAGAAGACGTTCAACGTGAAGAGCCACGCCTGAACGGTAGGACCACCCCGCTGACTTGGGTCAAAGCATGGCGGGCGCTGCGGCTTTAGCGGCATCGGCGACGGAAGAGTTGATTCGCCGGCCGGCACCGAAATCGTGACTCGAGGCTGAGTCATGGCCGCATTCGTCGCGTCGGGGTGTGTCGTGCCGTGGTCGTCGTCTCCGTCATGGCGGACGACGCCATCACTTGCGGCGCTCGCGGGTTGCCCCACACTTCCGTGCTGTGATGTCTGTGGTGCGGGCTGAATCGGAGTGCCAGGTGCTTGGGATTGTGCCCGTGTGAGGTCGTTTTGCAGGGACGAGCGTTCTGCCGTCAGCGTCGCGATTTCCTCGGCGCTCTCGCGGATTTGTCGCAGCAGATCGTTCAAGTGCTCCTGCGTGAGAGTCGTGACGTCGATATGTTCAGCCATTTCGAAGGGCGTCGGCTCGTCTTAGTCTAGGCGCAGTCGTGACTGCACGCGTTTACGAGAGAACGCGAGGACAGCGGCTCCTAGGTGCTAAGGTACGTGAGTCCCTTCGAGTGAAAAATCAAAAGTTGATTTCCTGGGGTGCGGAGATGCGCGGTCCGAAAGGAAAGAGGCTCTGAATACCAAGTGTTACGGGTGCAATGAATCGAAGTAGCGAGAATTGCACTAAGGTGTCAAACGAGTACAAAATGTGAGCGAAGGCATGAGCGAACATTTATACGCGAAACATGCAAACGGTAACGCGGTGCGTGCGAGCTAGCTAGTGCTACGCTGGAGCGAGGCTCGGGCTAGTCCCGAAGCGTAGGCCGACACGGCCAGGCCAGCAGTGCGAGGTTTGGTGAAACAGTGCGCGCGAAGTCGGCGAAGCCCCGTTAGCAGTAACGGGCGAACAACGGCTGCTGCTGTACGCGATGTTGCAGGGTGCGCTAAGGAATATCGAGAAAATTCCTTACAGTGCCCTAAATTAAAAGCAGATATATCAAGGCTGATAGCTTATGTGTCCTTGAAAAGAACATATCATTGGTCGAAGCAACGAACAAAAAGTTCCAGCAGACCCGTGACCAATACAAAAAAATGGAAGCATTGGAAAGTGTTTTTGTTGCTGCTCCTGCTGAAACTGTGTCCCCCTGAGATGATCGACCTATGTAGGCTCAGTTTATGACGTAATCATGTAACAGAGTAACATTATATCGTGTGATTTGCATCAACATGGCGGAAACTATATTGTAATTGACGAACGGACTCATTTCAGGTGACGTAAGAAATCGATCTTGCGTAGGCTCGATCGTCTCCAGGGGAGGCCTGCTGAGGTCGCAGTTAGAGTGTCATCGAGCCCTCAGGGTCGACTTCTCCAGTTAGAATAGTTTTCCTCGATCGACACATGTACCGCGTCCTGTCACTAGGCTCGCATTCTCCGACCAGGTAGGTGCTGGCGGAAAGATGACTTAGTCAACCATAGATTTCCTACCCTCAAATCGGAGGCGGAAACGCAGACATCATATTCCTTCACCGCTTCGCTATGCTTACATTTCTCTCTCCATAGCAACGGTTTCGCGCTTTGCATTCACATAGTCTCCCAATGCGACATCCTTGATCAGACTTCAGACTTGCTCAGAGCGGTTCGGTTCGGTTTGAAGATTTCCCCCCCGCACGCTGCTGCAGGCACCCCGTCCGCTGCTACAGGCGTTCCGTACGCTGCTGCAGTCACTCCGTATCAACTTCCGTCGTAACCCAATTGTTCCTCCCATGAGTACTCTGATTGGCCAGAACCGTGTCACTAGTAGTTGTCAGTTGTAACAGGCAGGCATCGAGAAAAGCAGGAAATGGCCGAATTCTGAGTCGATTCAAAAGTCGCCAGCTAGTGAAAAAAACAGCAGGCGATGGCAGGGAAAGAGGGGGATAAGGAGAGGGGGCGAGAAAAGGGTAGGGAGAAGAGCAGCAAGGAGAGAGGGAAAGAGGATAAGGAGAAGGGAAGGGGGAGATCGAAAGAGGAGAGGGAGAAGGGAAGGGGGAGAGAGAAAGAGAAGAGCAAGGGGACGCACAGGAGAGCCGAGAGTCCCGGAAGCAGCGTGAGCGGCGGAAGCGGCGTGAGTCCCAGAAGCAGGCGAGCTGCTTCGCCTTCGGCATCTGGAAGCGAAGGTTCCAGGCACCAGCACGGCCATCAGGACCAGCGGCATTCTGGACACCACTTAGGGCATCCGGGAAATCAGGAGTATCAAGGGAATCAGGGGAATCACAACGAGCATAGGGTGCAGCAGGAGCGACTCGTGGGTTACAATCAGGGAAATCAGGGGAACTGGGAACATCAGCCTCTGCTTCAGCAGCAGCGGCAGCAGCAGCAGCCAGTGACGTCAGCGTCCGCTTCCCACGGAGGGGGATGGCAGGCTCTGATGACGTCAGCGGCATCCGCGTCCATCATGCAGCAATGTCACGCTCTCATTCAACGCCGGGAGGTGCGGTGCTTCTCTGACTTAGCCGCAAGTGGTGTGTGAGGGGAGCGATTTTTTAGTCGACTCAAAACACGACTCATTCAACGCTGGGAGGTGCAGTGCTTCTCTGACTTAGCCGCCTGTGTGTGAGGGGAGGAGTGGCGTTTCTCTGCCTTAGCCGCCCCGCGTGCGAGGGGAGGTACTGGGTTTTTGTCTTTTATCCGCGCGTGTGCTGTGCTTCAATGCAGATTACCACCCTGTGAGAAATTTGTTCGATTTTTCAAAATATCTTGCAAGGCAAGCGATATGCTTTTTCCTTATTCCCCCCATCTATCCACCCACCCCCCACCCCACCCCCCTTTCCCAGCACCCCTCTTTCGTTCTTTTCAATTCTCCTCCAATTTCATTCTCCCCAATCCCATCCTCCTTCATTCAAATTCTCCCCACTCCGTTGCTCCTCATTCTATTCCTCCTCGTTCCACACCCCCCTACAGCTGCCCAAGGGTTCCACGCCTTACATTCTTCTGGCAGTCTGCCTTTTACTGGTGAGGGGGCGTGCGTGTGTGAGGCTCAACTCAAGTGGTGAGAGAGAAGTGGTTTTTGTGTGAGGCTCAGTGGTGAGGGGGAGGGCGTGTGTGTGAGGCTCAGCGGTGAGAGGGAGGGCGTGTGTGTGAGGCTCATCTGGGAGATTCTCAAGGCGCCTAAAAAATCATCTGGGAGATTTTCCAACAGTTTTCCTCCAAGCTTTCATTCTCTTTTGTTATAGGTCTTCTCAATCTCTTAGGCAGACTTAGAAGAAGCACACACATCGCAAGCAGGAGGACGAGGAGCAAGCAAAGCAGTTGCCTGCTGCCTGCCCAATGAACCCACCTTTCCCCCTCCCCTTAACCTCCCTCCCCGTCTCCCCTTCCCCCTTCCCAGGTGTTCGTCTTCTGGTTTGACATCTTCTCAATCTTCCAGGACGAGGAGCAAGCACTCATCCGTGCCTCCTCTTCCATACCCCCGCAATTTGCTCAATCAGTAAGCGGCGTCACTCGTACAGAAACATTGACCTTGCGTTTGAGTTGAGTCGACTTAAAAGCAGACTCATTCGTGCCTCCTCTTCCATACCCCCGCAGTTCGCTCGATCAGTAAGCATCACTCGCTAGTTTTGAGGTGCCTCAAAACTAGACTTCAATCTTCCAGGACGAGGAGCAAGCACTCATCTGTGCCTCCTCTTCCATACCCCCGCAGTTTGCTCAATCAGTAAGCATCACTCGCTAGTTTTGAGGTGCCTCAAAACTAGACTTCAATTTTGCAGGACGAGGAGCAAGCACTCATCCGTGCCTCCTCTTCCATACCCCCGCAATTTGCTCAATCAGTAAGCGGCGTCACTCGTACAGAAACATTGAATTTTGCTGAAGATATCCGTGGGTTTCTATGAAATAAAACAAGCATAATGTGTTTCCTGCAAACACAAGCTTTCAGAGGCGCACAGAAAGAAGCTACTGTAAGCTATCATGGCTTTCATGGTCTTTGTTCAAGCTGCCCTTCTTGCTTGCCCTTTTTCTTGAGTCGCCTCGAATAAAATATCGTTCCAACCTGCCCTGCCTGCTTGCTTATGCCCTTTCTCCTTCTACCTCTGCTTCTTACCATTCAACCCCTCAGTCCCTCACCCAGAACGATTCACCACCATCATCGCCAGCAGCAGCCGCAGCAGCAGCAGCCGCAGCAGCAGCAGCAGCAGCAGCCGCAGCAGGAGAGTCAGCACAACAACCTACTGACACCACTCCTGCCTCCTCTCCTGCCAATGCCACCGCCAACACTCCTTCGGACGGCTCCGAACCAAGCGCCGAACCAAGCTCCGAACCTGCAGCTCCTGACAGCAGCAGCGGGGGTGCTGGACACAGCGGTCTATCTAACGAGCCTGAGGGGGGGGATATCGCGCACATGTTTCGGCCGGCGCAGTGGCGGCAGCACACGTTCAGGCGTGTGGGGCTGGTGTCGTTTGCTCAGTTCTCCGGGTATCGCGTGTCGCCCACCGAGTTTGCTGCTGTTGGTCTGGCCGCCCGCGCTCTGGATGAAGGCAGGAAGGTGAGGCGGGGGATGGGGAGTGGAGGGAGGGGTGAGGAAGGGGGGAGGACAGGGCAGGGAAGGGGAGAAGGTGAGTGTGAGCACGGGGAATGAATGATTGAGTGAGGAAGGAAGGTGAGGTAGAAACGTGGGGATAGCATACATCCGTTTCGCCCGGCGGAGTGGCGGCAGCACACGTTCAGGCGTGTGGGGCTGGTGTCGTTCGCCCAGTTCTCCGGGTATCGAATTTCCCCTACTCAGTTTGCCGCTGTTGAGCTGGCTGCCCTGCCCGCGCCCTGGATGAAGGCAGGAAGGTGAGGAGAGGAGGGGGATGACGAGAGGGAAGGGAAAGGAAGGAACGTGAGGGGATGGATGGGGGAAAGCTTCTCCACACCTGCTGGAGGGAGGGATGTGAGGGGATGGATGGGGGAAAGCTTCTCCACACCTGCTGGAGGGAGGGATGTGAGGGGATGGATGGGGGAAAGCTTCTCCACACCTGCTGGAGGGAGGGATGTGAGGGGATGGATGGGGGAAAGCTTCTCCACACCTGCTGGAGGGAGGGATGTGAGGGGATGGATGGGGGAAAGCTTCTCCACACCTGCTGGAGGGAGGGATGTGAGGGGATGGATGGGGGAAAGCTTCTCCACACCTGCTGGAGGGAGGGATGTGAGGGGATGGATGGGGGAAAGCTTCTCCACACCTGCTGGAGGGAGGGATGTGAGGGGATGGATGGGGGAAAGCTTCTCCACACCTGCTGGAGGGAGGGATGTGAGGGGATGGATGGGGGAAAGCTTCTCCACACCTGCTGGAGGGAGGGATGTGAGGGGATGGATGGGGGAAAGCTTCTCCACACCTGCTGGAGGGAGGGATGTGAGGGGATGGATGGGTGAAAGCTTCTCCACGACTCAAAAGTCACACACACTCACCTTCTCCTCCAGCTTCTCCACACCTGCTGCTGAAGTGTTCGTGAGTGAAATCAGTGATTCGTTTGTAAGTGCACTGGTGCAGGATTGATAATATAAGACTGATTCCTGTCTTATGTTACTCTTGCTTTTCTGGATTGTTTGTTACGTAACATTCATCGCACGTTGTAACTGTGAGTGATTTCGTGTGTAAGGTGGGCAAATGCACGTGGGAACCAGGGGACCTTTTGAGACGTCTCAAAACCTTTATCAGGGAACCAGGGAATCAGGGAAACCAGGTGGGAGAGGGCGGCTGACTTTTGAGGCGCCTAAAAAAACATTCAATGCATGCACGTTGTAACCAACCTGTACCTGGTGATGTGTGTGTAATCTGTGCAATTCTGTGTGTAAGGTGGGCAAATGCGCGTGGGAACCAGGGAAACAAGCTGGACACGATGCAAAGAGAGGAACTTCAGAGGGAGGGAAGAGGAGGAGGAGGCTGATGGTGAGGGAAACTGGAGGAGGAAAAGGGCTGGAGGGAGGAGGGAAGGGGGAGAGGCGCAGAGGCGGAAAGAGGACGGGTGAGAGAAGGAACGTGGTGCGCACGAAGGGGAGGAGGGGAGAGGGGAAAACGGAGGCTCGGAGGGAGGAGGAGGGGAGGAGAGCGCTGAGGAGAGGAAAAGAGGGCAAGATTATGGTTCAGGAGTCGACTGGGGGGAATGCTGCTGAGAGATTTGAGGTGCCTCAGAAAAGGAGGCAACTAGAGGAGGGAGGAGGGGACGCCACAGCAGCACAGGAAAGTGGGGAAAAGGCGGGAGGAGGGGAAGGGGGAGGAGAAGGTGCGGGAGGGAATGGCTCATCTGCTGACTCACCTGGTGAATCACATGAGAGTGATCCCTCTGTGAATGGGGAGAAACCGGGGGAGTCGAGGGAGGAGGAGGAGGAGAGGAGGGAGGAGGCGGAGGAGGAGGAGAGGGGGTGGATCCATGGCAGTGTGGAGGTGCTACACGTGGGAGAACACCATTGGTGGAAATATGCCGGGCTCATTCTGCTCTGCACACTCAAGAGGTGAGTGAGTGGGTGAGGCGTGGGTTTTATTGTTCCTGCCCTGCACACTCAAGTCAAAACAACACCACAGGCTCATTCTGCTCTGCACGCTCAAGAGGTGAGTAAGTGGGTGAATGGGTTGAGTGGATGAGGCGTGGGATCTATTATTCCTCAAGAAGTCAAATCAACACCACATGCTCATTCTGCTCTGCACGCTCAAGAGGTGAGTGGGTGAAACGAGGTGTGGGGGACTTTGATCTATTTCAGAAATAGTAATTTGGATCGGATGTGCACGCTTACAAGGTAAGACGGGGTTCTTTTCTTCTCTCTGCCCTGCCCATGCCCCATATCCCATGCCCCATGATGACCCATACACTGCAACTTTATACCAGCGAGGCATATGCCCTGCCCTTGTGCCCTGCCGTGTGCCCCATGCTCCACTGCAGGGAGGCATATGTAGCAGATGGGGGGTGGCTGCACATGCGCATAGACGGGGAGGACGTGGGTGGTGTATGAGGAGGAGGCGGGGGAGGTGGTCTCAGTATGGTGCCCTGAGTGCCCTCCCTGCCCTACCCTGCCCGTGTGCCCTGTGTACCCTGCACAGGGAAGCATATGTAGCAGAGGGAGGATGGCTGCACATGCGCATAGACGGGGAGGACGTGGTGGTGTATGAGGAGCAGGCGGGGGAGGTGGTGAACGCCGTGCCGCATGCCCCCTTCCTGCACAACATCACGCACTGCTCGCCCCCCATCCACCACCAGGTGAGTTTTTTATTTTCCTGTTCACCATGTAGCACGTGGTAGGCTCTCTTCCGTTCACAACCGATTCTCTCTCTTTCCTCACCAGGTAAGCTCTCTCTTCTATCCCCCTCTCCTGCACAACATCACGCACTGCTCGCCCCCCATCCACCACCAGGTGAATCCTCTTTCTACCATGAGACATGGCTCGGTGGAGAGAAAAGAACACCAATCGGGTGCACCGTGTATCAGAGCATCAGTCGCTGCCGTGCAAAGGCACGGCACCTAATTCGTGCTCAATCAAACCAAAAGAGTTGCCTGGTGCCCATGGGACGTGGCTGGGTGGAGAGAGCACCATACAGGTGAACCATATATCAGAGCATCAGTTGCTGCCGTGCAAAGGCATGGGCATCCAAAGGGTGTTCTCACTCAAACCAAAAGAGTTTCCTGGTGCCCATGGGGCATGACTGGGTGGAGAGAAGACCATCCAGGTGCATCATGTGTCAGAGCCAAGTCACTGCCATGCCATGCAAATTCATGTGGCATATGACATGTTCCATGTGGCATATGACATGTTCCATGTGGCATATGACATGTTCCATGTGGCATATGACATGTTCCATGTGGCATATGACATGTTCCATGTGGCATGCCTGCAGGTCAGAGCGGAGCGTGTCCGCCAGTGGATGGATCTGCACATCCGCATGGGAGTGGACCATTATGTTCTCTACGATGTGGGCGGGGTGGACCTGCAACTGCGCTCCGTGCTCCAGGTATGGGTTTGCATACTCTTATGTTAGTGACATGACATGTTGATAGATGGATCTGCACATCCGCATGGGAGTGGGCCATTATGTGCCCTACCATGTGGGCGGCGTGGACATGCATCTGCGCTCCATGCTGTAGGTGAGACACGTGACAGTACGTGCCTCCTTTCATCTGCACATTCGCATGGGCGTGGGCCATTATGTCCTGTACGATGTAAGCGGTGTGGACCTGCAGCTGGGTTCTGTTCTTCAGGTGAGTCTTTTTTTCTTCTTCTTTTTTCCCTCCCCGTATGTCATTCTGCTTCCGCTTTCGTCTAACCGTTATAACTCTTCTCCCCCAACCGTTCTCTTGCTTTCCATCTTCTGCAGCCGTTTCTGGACGGAGGGATCCTGGAAGTCACTGATTTTCCAATGTTATGTCATGTTGCTTCCATTTCTTTATGACCACTCGCTTGGTTACCCTCTCCCCGCAGCCGTTTTTGGATGGAGGGATCGTGGAAGTCACCGACTTTCGTGACGTGGTGAACTATGAGTCATGGTATTATGGACAGGTGAGCTGGCATGCTCTGGTGACTTGGCATGCAATGGTGGCATGTAATGCAATGGTGACATGCATTGATGCCAAGTGCATGTCTTGCCATGTATTGAAAGGTCTCAGAATGTAGCGTGCCAAATGAAATAAACCTGCTTCTAAGTACTTTAATGACACAATCATAACCACCAGATTGCAATGGTTAAAGACTCTGTGTGTGAATTGGTCAACCCCTCCAACCCTCCATCCCTTAACCTCATTAGCTCTCCATCCCGCCATCCCTCAACCTCACCGGCTCTCCATCCCTCCATCCGTCCTGTCTTTGTTCCGCACCACCTCACCAAGTGATGATAGTGAACGATTGTGTGTATCGGTCGCTTAATGCCACCCCGTCCATCATTTCTATCGTCTACACCCGTCCCCATTCCTTCTTGTCTCCTCTCCGCCCCACCAGGTGATGATAGTGAACGATTGTGTGTATCGCTTCCGCCGCCTTTCCAAGTGGCTCATGTACCTTGACTTTGACGAGTTCATCTTTATGGATGGGCAGGTGAGCACGCAAGGTCGCACTCACTCCCTTGGATGATTCTCAAAAGTGATTCCAACGCAGTTCGCCTTCATCAACGACCAGATGGTCAGGTCCGCTATGTCGAAATCTCTATTGAGGATTCTCGAAAGTGATTTTCCCACCGGCCAGGTGGCTGTTAGAAGTCCTGCACGAGGGATCTCCGATTGATCCTAGAGAAGGGTTATAGGCACGCTTGCCTGGGAGGTTATGGACGGATTTACCCGCTACTTATAAAGCCCTTTTATCCCAGTGATTAGTGGTTGAGATTCTGATATGACATCAGAGCGAAGGCCTCAGGTTCGAATGTCCATGTGCGCACATGCTGGCGTCCATGTGTTGCTGCCGTTGTGCCGTGTCCTAGGGCATCCCAGTGAAGGGAGGTGTCAGAAGATGTGCATTGGGACCCTCAAGTTAATCCTAGGGAAGAGTTACAGACACGCTTGTCTGGAGGGTTATAGGCGCAATCACCCACTACTTAAAAACCATTTTATCCCAGCAGTTAGTGGTTGGGATTCTGACAATGGCGAGGTCCACATGCAAGCATCCCGACCTCCCCACCCGCACACTCCTCATCTCGCTTTCTCTCTCCGCATGAGGGTTTGCTTTCACACTTCGGTGTCCTTGCTCCTGCTTCACCTCACCCTACTGAGCCACTACTCCCGAATCCCGCTGTCTCTTTACCCACAGGAGCGAGTACCCAACCCAATGAGCGTGCACGACTTTCTCGCCCCTCACGAGGGACTGCCCTATGTGAGCCACGGGTGCCTGTGGTGGGACCACGAGCGCTGCCTTCCTGCCCAAGGCGACAACGGTACGCACGCCCTCTTCATGGTTGTGCACTGGTGCGGGCAGTAAATGTGTGCTTTGGTTGGGCCTGCATCTGACTGCCCCTCACGAGTTCTACCCTATGTGAGCCACGGGTGCCTCTGGTGGGACCACGAGTGCTGCCTTCCTGCACAAGGCGACAACGGTACGCACACTTGCTTGGTTGTGCAGTTTTGGCAGTGCAGCTTGGTAGGGCCTGCTTCTGATCGCCCCTCATGAGGGTCTGACTGCCCTATGTGAGCCACGGCTGCCTCTGGTGGGACCACGAGCGCTGCCTTCCTGCCCAGGGCGATAACGGTGCGAGGTGACTTGATTGCTCCGCGGAGCAGCAGGCAGTACTGACTATGTGGTTGGCCCTGTTCCTGACTGCCCTATTTGAGCCATGGGCGCCTGTGGTGGGAGGGACCACAGGCGCTGCCTCCCCTCTCAAGGTGACAACGAAATGGTACGCACTCTTGCTTGTCTGTGCAGTCTAGTGCTGGCATGGACTTGCTTGGTTGTGCGGGCCGCACATGCGTGGCGTTGCCTGGTCCTGACTGCCCTATACGAGCCATGGGCGCTTGTGGTGGGACCACAGGCGTTGCCTGCCCTGCCAAGGGGCCAATCGTGTGTGGTGTCTTGGTTGGTAGCACAGAGGCACGCCGCACGCTGTATGTCTGTCTTTCCTCTCCTCCCCCCTTCTCTCCCTCCTCTCTCCATCCATCCTCTCTTCATCCCCTCTTCCCTGCTGTGCCACTCCCCGCTGTGCCACTCCCTGCTGTGCCTGTTAACCCGTCATCTGCTCCCCTCCTCTTTTCATCTCCTCTCTTCCATTCCATTCACAGACCCCAGGTGGCCATTGGAGCGAATGTTGTGGCACTGGCCGTTCATCTACTGCCAGGCCAAGGACAACACCACCGACCCTAAACTGTGCCTCAACCACTGGGGCCACCGCAAGCTGTTTGTCGATCCCAGGAAGGTGTGAATCAACTAGGATGATTGCTGGTCCCAGAGTGGTGTGGATTGGGTTTTAAGAACCGTGTGTGCCTGTCATGGGTCCCAACCTATGCCTCAACCACTGGGGCCACCGCAAGCTGTTTGTTGATCCCAGGAAGGTGCGTGTGCTTTGTGTGCTGTTGCATTCTGAAACGTTCGGAGGCGTGCTAAGTATTTTCTTGGCCTTCTGTCCTAGCTTTTCATTCGCCCTCACCCTCCTCTCAGCCTTTTATCCTCCTTTCTCCGTGTCATAGGTGCGAGTGGTGGAGAACCACGTGGTTGCGAACCCCAGCGGGGGAGGCACCTTGTGTTGTTTCGTCAATCTCGACTCCTCTCAACCTCCTGTCACCGCTCTCTAACCCTTTTAGCCCCCTCCGTTCCCCTCTCCCTCAGGTGCGAGTGGTGGAGAATCACGTGGTTGCAGACCCCAGCGGGGGAGGCCACCCTGTGTTGTCTCTTCAATCTCAACCTCCTCCCAACATTTATCACCCATTTAACCCCCTCGCCCCCCATTCTCCCACAGGTGTGAGCGGTGGAGAACCATATCGTTGCAGACCCCATTGAGGGAGGCACGTTCTGTCCTATCTCGTCATGCGCTCTCACTCTCCCCCTCGCCCCCCCTTCTCCCTCAGGTGCGAGTGGTGGAGAACCATATCGTTGCAGACCCAAGCGGGGGAGGGAAGGACCTGCCCACAGACGCACTCAGGCACCACCACTTCCGCGTGAGTGCCTTTCTGGCCGGGCGGGTTTGTTTTCGAATAGCAACCTATTTTGTCAGCGGCTCCCTGCCCCACAGACGCACTCAGGCATCACCACTTCCGTGTGAGTGTGTCTTTCGAGGCGCCTCAAAAGGTGTGAGTGGTGGAGAATCATATCGTTGCATACCCCAGAGGGGGAGGGAAGGACCTGCCTACAGAAGCACTCAGACATCACCACTTCTGTGTGAGTGCCTTTTGCATGCCATCACCACATCTGCGTGAGTGCTTTTGCATGTAAGTGCCATCACCACTTCCGCGTGAGTGCCTTTTGCATGCCATCACCACTTCTGTGTGAGTGCTTTTGCATGTAAGTGCCATCACCACTTCTGCGTGAGTGCCTTTTGCATGCCATCACCACTTCTGCGTGAGTGCTTTTGCATGTAAGTGCCATCACCACTTCCGTGTGAGTGCTTTTGCATGTAAGTGCCATCACCACTTCCGTGTGAGTGCCTTTTGCATTCCATCACCACATCTGCGTGAGTGCTTTTGCATGTAAGTGCCATCACCACTTCCGCGTGAGTGCCTTTTGCATGCCATCACCACTTCTGTGTGAGTGCTTTTGCATGTAAGTGCCATCACCACTTCTGCGTGAGTGCCTTTTGCATGCCATCACCACTTCTGCGTGAGTGCTTTTGCATGTAAGTGCCATCACCACTTCCGCGTGAGTGCCTTTTGCATGCCATCACCACTTCTGCGTGAGTGCTTTTGCATGTAAGTGCCATCACCACTTCCGCGTGAGTGCCTTTTGCATGCCATCACCACATCTGCGTGAGTGCTTTTGCATGTAAGTGCCATCACCACTTCCGCGTGAGTGCCTTTTGCATGCCATCACCACATCTGCGTGAGTGCTTTTGCATGTAAGTGCCATCACCACTTCCGCGTGAGTGCCTTTTGCATGCCATCACCACTTCTGTGTGAGTGCTTTTGCATGTAAGTGCCATCACCACTTCCGTGTGAGTGCCTTTTGCATGCCATCACCACATCTGCGTGAGTGCTTTTGCATGTAAGTGCCATCACCACTTCCGCGTGAGTGCCTTTTGCATGCCATCACCACTTCTGCGTGAGTGCTTTTGCATGTAAGTGCCATCACCACTTCCGTGTGAGTGCCTTTTGCATGCCATCACCACATCTGCGTGAGTGCTTTTGCATGTAAGTGCCATCACCACTTCCGCGTGAGTGCCTTTTGCATGCCATCACCACTTCTGTGTGAGTGCTTTTGCATGTAAGTGCCATCACCACTTCCGCGTGAGTGCCTTTTGCATGCCATCACCACTTCTGCGTGAGTGCTTTTTGCATGTAAGTGCCATCACCACTTCCGCGTGAGTGCCTTATGCATTTTCGTGGCACCACCACTTCCGTGTGAGTGCCTTTTGCATTTAAACCCCGCAGGCCAAGCTATTCAAGCTTAGGAAGGTTGGTTGGGAGTGAGGACATTATTTGGACGCGAGCCAATAAGAGTGTCGAAAATGTTGGCCTAGGTCTCAGAAATCGGGAATCAGCACATTCAACCAACATTAGGAAGGATGAGCCAAATTTGGCCTTCTTGACCCACGGGTTTGAAGTGGCACCACCACTTCCGTGTGAGTGCCCTTTGCATGGCATCACCACTTCTGCGTGAGTGCAGGTTGAACATGAAGGCTGACGATCCCATTGAACGGTGGACGCATGGGACCAAGGAAACCCCTTTGGCTCACACTAATTGGCTCTCATTGACTTGTGTTGACTTTGCTCCCCCAGCGAATAATAATGCATGGAGCCAGCGAGTGCAGTCTGGGCATGAAGGCTGACGATCCCATCGAATGGTGGACGCACGGGACCAAGGGTACCCCTCGGCTCACACTGATTGACTTGCGTTGACTTTTTGCCTCCTCAGGGTATAATAAAGTATGGAGCGAGCGAGTGCAGTATGCGCATGAAGGATGACGACCCCATCGAATGGTGGGCACACGGGACCGAGGAGGCGGACAGAATGCACTATGTGCGAACACACCCGCTCGATGTGCCGTCTCTTGTTGCTTCACACAAGGTGAGGCTTTGGTTGGAAGGAATATGCACAATTCTGTACGTAATCAGTGTGTCACATGATGCTATTCTTCCTACCGTATCTTATGACTTCAAATTTCCTGCTTGTCTTCTTTGTGTGAGGCAGTGGTGGAAAGACTATGTGCTAAGGACACAACGTGGCCAGTAATGTTCATACCTATTGTTGGCTATAACTGTCTGGAAATCATGGCACGGCAGGAACTCAAGCTACTGAACGAAATAAGAGCACGTACACGCAGTAGAAGAAGCGCATAGCATACAATGCAAGTCTTTTACTGTTTCAAGTGATTTCTATAAATTTGTGTGACTCTAAGCCCCGCCTTGTCATATACTCACGGTATATTGAGTTTTGCCCAATTATGTTCTACCTTGCCCCGTAAATCAAGATTACTCTGTTGAAGGTAGCCCTTTTGAAACTCCTCCTAGTGGAGCTTTCCGGTTCTGCGCATAACGGTTATGCACGAGCTTTGTCCACCGGCCAACTTTGTCCTGTACTTGGCACATATCAATACAGTGGATGAGATCGTTGCCTTGCATTTTGAGTCCCTTTGTAGCTTCACCGCATCTAAACCCTACATATTGAATCGAACCAGTGCATATGAGCTTGAAATACTCCTTTCACTTGCCGTAAATTCCAAGACTGTTCCCTCCACACAGTTGCCACCTGCGAATCGAGCCGTAAGCCGGCTCATGCCATGTCAGCAACATCTTATCCTCGTTCGTGGCTGTGATCGGATATCACGTC